TCATGAAATGACTTCCTCATCCACCGTCGCGCGCTCCCCTCCTTAGGGGAATCGCGGATTCAGAGCCCATTGTGAGACGTTCTATTTTTCAGAAGGATCCGAACTTTCGGCGCAGATCGGCGTCGCGCCGAGCTTTGTTTCAATCAATCGGGTGATTTCATCACCGTCTACTAAAACCCATTCACTGGGTATGTTTCTCTGCCTTCAACAATCGACATCGCTCGCACTCCCTCCGACTCCATTCATCATGGACAGCCCATGATGACATTCAGACTCATATCGGGCGTAGGGAGACTCAATTGCTCGGAAAGCCTCACGTGTCTGACTGCCTCAGAAATTGTAGATGAGTCCCAACCTCCGATGAAGTCTCTCGATTTTACATAAATTATCCTCACACAAAAACATTGCAACGAATTTCTACGAGAATTCACTCGCTACAACGAGTTTTCATACCATGAACGCGTGGATGGCATCACCTGCGCGGCGTTGAAGCGGCGCGGCGGAGGCTCGATCAGGCGCTGATTCCAAGAGCATAATCCATTCTTGTTGACCATCGTGAGCAATGCTCGATCCGGGTGCTTCGGAACGCGCTATTTTGAGGACGTCTGGCCGATCTCTTGATTTTTCCGGTTCGTATGAGGCGAGGCATGGGAATGAAGACAGGAAGCCTCTCCTACTCAATCTAGAGTTTCCCCATTACTACGTGGAGTCTCGCGGTTCCCATCGAGTCGGCTCCTACGAGGTTTCACTGTACATAAAGTTCCGGAAATTCCGTGCTGTAACGTTGAGACGTCGAGTCGGCAGTATCAATGTCTCGGATAATCCTTGCCTCAAGCCGCCTCGCAAACTCTGATGACGCAAACTCCAGCTCGGAGGCTTTTTTCTTTTCAAACTGCGCTCGGAACCCTTGGGCGGCTTTGGACGGATTAGCGAGGTCGAAGGGGTTTGAGGTGTTTGAGTGGAGCAGAACGGCACTGCTTGGGCTATCGAGCATTCAGAGGCGAAGCGGGAGTAGACGGAAGTGCTCTCCCGAACAATGCGGAAACGAAAAAAGATTCTATATCTCTCGGACAGGATAGAATTCGCATACGATGTATCGAGCACGCCCATTGTCTCCTGAGCGATCTTTGAGGCATGCCGCCACCGCCTGCGACACAGCCACCTCGTAGTCGGCTACCTTAGCCTTCGGTCGCTTCGGTCGTTCGACCGTCAGTCGGTGAGCTAGGCAAGATTCTTGAGATGCCTCGATTTGGACCAGCGATTTGGGGCATCTCTCGGATCGCTAAGCCGGAATGGAGGCGGTTTGTTCGATTGCGTCGCATCACTGCTGTCAATTCAACCGGTTCAAAGCTCGAATTCCTCTAATCGAGGGCAAGCTTATGTAATTAGAGAATCTGTAATCCGAGCACCAGCCTCACGGAGCGTCAAAATTTCCGCATGCAGGACTTCTGCCACATCTGCCGTGAATGATTTTGCGTGAATTTGTCCCCACGCGACGATGACGACACCCGAGGATTCCCGGGACGGGGTGCAGAAGTGTAACTCGCGACTTCCCCCGGATGCGTGGTCTACGACCTTTATCGTAATCGGAGTGGACGTTCGCTCTCGAAGACGACTATTCTTGTGCGGCTCCCCTCTCCGGGATAGGAGGATTCGCGCGCGGAAAGGCCGTAGCACCGGCGACCGGCTCAGCCCAAGCGCGTCACGTTGGAGGGCGGACAGAAATGACCAAGGAGCCTGAGAGAGTTGTACGGGCAGAGTTTTTTAGACTCCGAGAAGGAGAAGGATCGTTCATCGTGAGAGCTCGGATGAAGCATGCCTGCGGACAGCCCGCGGATGATCGGTATAACTTCGTTCGACCAAACACGCTAATTTTTCGGGGGAGAGTCTTCGCGCAATCGGATGGGGTTTTCAAAAACCATAGAACCAAGATTGGCTAAGCCTTCTCTATAGACCATAAGTTTTCCTCGCCCTCGTGCGTATCTTTCGGCTTTCCCAGCTCTTTTCCTCTATGGTCGAAAACAGCCCTTCTTTCGACAGGACGAGTTTCTCCCGGTCGACAATACAGATGTCGATGAGGATTTGGTTCACAGTTTAAATAGTGGCTTAACAGCCTATTCGCAGGTTTAGTAGTTGGGCGTCCTTCAGAAGATCTGCGGCCTGAAAGTTCTCCGACGAGCATTGTGGGGCGCGAGCGGAGTTGATCCGGAGTTAAGCCAGATCATCCACGTCTCTATCTCGAATTACAAAATCGTCAATCCTGTATCAATTGTTGGAGCATCAACATCCCGTTAAAGCTCTGAATGAGATAGAGCCGTGAAGCTTCCCTGAATAAACTCAACGCCAGTCATCAATGACCTAATCGGCGTCGATTGAAAAATCCGCCACCGACATATAATAAGAGTTTCGGATCATAAGGAGAGACTTGATCGAATCGCCCGGAGAATTCCGATTTGGAATTGGTGCATCGTATGGCAGCGGGGTTGCCCGTGAGCATTCGACTTTGAACAGAAAACGGAAAGAGATTAAGGAGTCAAGACGGAGAGAAATTATTCATTTGTAGGATATTCGTGCTGAAAATGAATCCGAGCGAGCCCCTGTGGTCAACCCGTGTCCGAATGTCCTACCAGACCGGTTGGACCGGGACTCTGAGTTCCCGTCTAATTCTTCGGGCAGGATCAGAAATGGTCATTTCATCCAGAACGTGGGCATCTCGAGTCGTATCGTACGTAGACGTGACATTAGTTCAATGGAGGATCCCATCGCTAGGAGTCGAACTTCCCCTGCGTGAGAGTTGCTCCAAGAGTTGTCTCAATGAATTTCGAAGATACTCCAAGGATACACAATTGTATCTCAAAGGGAGTGTCTGCTCCGGGTGTGAATCCTGGATACGCGTTACTCCAGTTGCTCGTTTTGGAGGGCTTCGAGGCTCGCTAGCTGGCTGGCTGATTCGCCATCGCGGTGGCTGGGTAGCTCTTGAAGCTGCTAGTGTCGGTAGCTGTGCGGCCGATGCCACGTCCCTCTCCCTCATGGGTGCTCCGCCCCACATTGACCCCTCCATAGGCGGTGCTTTGAGCTAAAAGCCTTCCTTCTCACGGCTTCATCTCACATTCAGTCTGAGCAGTCGTTCCGAGCATTCACGAGCGTACTTCGTTTCTTCAAAGGAGATTATTATCATCATCATCACCTCTTCATTGATTCGAGCGAATTCCCCGAGGTGATTCTGATGGTTGCGGTTTGAAGCAGAAGTGATAAGTTCTCAAGTGTTCCGTCGCCAGACACGGTTCAACGCACAGGTATTGCGTGCTCATACGTTCGGCAGCTCGAAGATCCAACCTATTGTTGCTCCGCTCTTGGAAAACCCGAACCTTGAGGTGAGTCTTCCTCTAAGTAGAGCCTCGATGTTGACTTCAGGGGATTACTAATCCCCCCATAGTCTCATCTAATCCCTAGATACTCTGGAGATTTCGAAATGCAGCCGGCGAGAATAGAAACTTCAGCGACTAATTGGAGACATTCCATTCGACTGACGTTCCCCTTTAGGAGAGACCCTCCGAGGAATTGTTCTTCGCTAGCCTGACATTCTGTTCCTTTTCTATTCACTTCTTATTTTTCATTTACTTATGGTTCATCTTCCCCATTCAATCCTTTTCTATTCACGTCTGGATGGCGATTCGCCACATGAATTTCCCTTATTATCGAGTGAGTCTAGTGACATGTCGGACCTCTCGATCCGATCCCTTCTTTAAGGTAACGTTCGAGGATTCTCTTATGGCGTCCCGTCGAGGAGGACTTTCAGTAGTTTATGTGTATAGTCGTCCCTGTGCGATTCGGGGCTGTCTCCTCTGCATTTCTTAGTGATCTCGACGAAACTCTGCCGGTCACTCCCTTCATTTTGTCACTGCTGTCAACTCCCGCAGACGCCCGCATGAGGAAATGTTTTCTCAGTTCCGAATGTTTGGGATCAATCAATACTTCCTGTAAGTCGGGAAGCCCTTGGTGATGCCCCGCTGATCTTATCCTTTCATTTTCAGCAATAATGTCGCTATACAGCTACACATCGAATTCACCTTTATCTCCGCCCTCTTCGCCCCCGTGTTTAAAAGGGGGTCTCCCCGCAACGAGCTCAGTTGCGACGACTCCTGTGGCCCCGGTCGCGGCATCGTACCCCACTCCCAACTTCTACGCACATCCAGCTCCTAGCTCATACAGTAAGTTGAGTTTTCCAACCTCCATATATACCCCAAAAAAAGTTATCATCCCCATCGAAGAGGTCGTGCAATGAGTCCCGCAGCCGTTGAGAAAGTTCGATGTGGGAGATTCGGAAAACTCCTCATTAAGTCGGCCTTCCGTCTCCGAGACTCCGTTATTAAATAGGGGGGATGACAAGGGCTCTGAGCAGGCGCCACGGCGACGCCCCGACCCAGAGCCGAGGGTTCTCCCATAATGGGCTCGATGATTCGAGGTCTCCTCGATCTCCCCTGTCTCTCGTCCCCCTCACATGTATGAGTATGTGTGCATATGCGTACGAATGCGTATATAAGTTACAGCGCCCATTCGTCCGTTCGTTGTAACCCATGGGTTTCTGGGCCTCCCGATTCCTCCGGTGAGGTTCGCCGTCGGCGCGGCTCCCCTCGATCAGTTAATCCTCAAGTTCTTATCCTCGCCAGAGGATTATGAGCTCGGCTGGCTGGCTCATTGGTTGGCTGCCTGCCTGCCTGACTCGCTACCATGAATAGCTCTCGTCGTACCCAAGAAGAGTAGCCGTCTGTGGAAAGAGTGCTGTGGACAAGTTTGCAGCGCATGACTGTACCATTCGGACTCAGACATCGTTCGCTCCGGGTGCCTGAAGCCAGTGAAACGAATTCGATATTGTGCAGTGTTGTTCGTTCGGCGAGGTTCCGTGTTCACAACAAGGTTTTCCCGGTCTGAACCTCCGGACATTGGCCAGAGCTTCGAGTCTCCGCAGGATGCGATTGCGATGAGCTCGCTCATTATGAATGATCCCTACTGGATGCGTCTATGTAAAGAAATTCGTTCGAGGCGACGAGGAAATTTTCGAGAGGACTCTCGTCGATCGCCCTATATCTGACCCGGTCCCTTTTCCGATTCACAGCAACCCCAAACCACAACAAATGGAACTCTCACATTGCAATGGCTGAATCCTGGTTCACCTCCAGTGCGAATGCGCTAAATGGTAAGAGCTCTTCATCTTCTTTATCGCTTCTCTGTTCATAGCCAGAGAATTGGTCATCACAAGCACTTGGGTTCCACTGGTCTGCGTCGTGGGGTGTACGCTCATGCATAATGATGCAACCATCGGGAGGCTTTCGATTGTTGTTTTGTTGGGCGCAAGATCCGTTTCCACAGTGATTAACTCACTCTGTCGGCGTCTCATTGACCAGTCGGTCGGCAGTCGTTTTGTGATTGTATAGTTAGAAGGAACCGAGAGCGTGAAGTCCCATCGTGTGTACCTCAATCGAGTGGGCTCGAGTGAGATCTGCACCGCTCCCATTGTGGGGGGACATAGGCGACTCGACAACAATGATGCCGCGCACTGTTGCATGCATGCCGCTAAGATGGGCGCTTGAAACGCGCATTCTGCAACGAGCGGTACACTTTTTGCACAAACAGGCGTTCCGCCTGAGCACCGATGGGAGAACTCGTCTCTACTCCTTTCAACAATTCCTTCCTTTCCCCCGAGCCAGCTCGTCGGAAAATGCGCTCCTCGGAGCTGAGTAAGGCCGTGAGACATCACATGGTGTTCTGACTTCCGTCTCCTTCTCGATTCGATGGAAGTAGGGGAAGCTCGAGAAATCCGTTCCATCCCTGTGTTGTGTTTGATCTGCGTAGTCTCGAATTCCATCGCACTTCATCGATCATCATCTCTATCAGTCCGCAATCTCGCTCCGCGCTCGAAGCGCCTCGAGCGCTTCAGTGCGGAACGACATCGGTGTCTCAGAGTAGAATGCTGTCGATTGAGTTGGGCGGTCGGTTTGTCGCCGATTCGTATGATCCTCACGAGCTCACTATGAACTAAGTGCTCCTCTTCACATTTTACGACGACGACGCCGACAACGACGACGATCCAGAACACAATGCTGTCTCAACACTGGCCACGGCTGCTGGGCGGCACTTATATGTTCTATCTGTGTCGGCGGGTCGGCGGGCGTCGTCAGACTTGTTATAAACACGATAGGTCTAGACACCTAGCACTCGGCGATCGAACAAATGCTTTCATTCAAATGTAAAGCGACCAGATCTCACGAGCACACTCCTCAGCCCGATTGAAACCCGATAGGGTTTAGGAATAGTTGCACAAATCGTCGCTCACATATGAATGACAACGGTGATGATCGTGCTGCTGGGTGGCGATACCCCACGAGACTAATGAAATTCATCGTTTGAATAAATTGCAGGCTCTGCGGCCATGGCAGGAATCGCAGGCGGCATTCGCAAGCAACGCCGAGAACGCACAACCTTCACGAGGCCTCAACTCGAACTGCTGGAATCTTTGTTCCTCAAAACTCGTTATCCGGATGTGTTCATGCGCGAAGAAGTCGCGATGAAGATAAATCTCCCGGAAAGTCGCGTCCAGGTCTGGTTCAAGAACCGGAGAGCGAAAATGCGTCAGCAGAACGCAACGGCGAAGGCTAACGCGTCCGCAGCGGCAATCGCATCGAATTCCGTTTCGTCGTCTTCCTCCTCCTCTTCGTCGTCGTCATCGTCGCAGTCGAATTCAGCGCACGCGAAGGATTCCGTAATCAAGAAAGAGAAACAATCAAAACCTCAGCTACAGCAGCAAAATATCCACTTCAGTGGCAATGTCCCGCCGACGAAAAACTGTTCACCTTCTCCCCCTGCGCTTCCCGTGAATATCTCATCGCACGCGAGCAACATGTATTCATTTTGGAACCCAACGCCGGGAGATTACCCGCGAGCGTATAATGGCGCGGTAGATTTCTATAATCAGCACTACCATAGCGGACAAAGCCCCTATGCGCCTGTCGCGTACCAAATGGACTTCGTTCCTTCGCCACCCTACACCCCCCTAACGGCAGATCGCGGCGTGGACGCGGCGCATCCATTTTCACCCGCTTGGTGATCTGGGACTGTTCGAGGCGAGGTTTCAAGTCAAACAAAAGAGATTAAGAAGACTCCTTTCAAGCCCTTGTATATTATCCCAATAAAAGATCTTCTGAACGTTATCCAGAAAGTGACTGTACAAATCATTTCATTGCATTGAGTATCCGGCTCCGGAAGATGTCCTCGCCCAATATTCAAGCCTCTCGGAATGCGTCCGGAATCTGAGCTGAACCCCACTGGAATCTCTGAAAAGAACAGAGGCGGTGAAACACCCGGAATTCGAATTCAAAGAGCCCACTTGGATAATCACGGTCGACTCGAAGTCGGAGCCTCGTTCAGGAATTTCGAAATCACGAGACTCGAGACCTCTGGACGGGGGTTGCTTTCGGAGCGTCGTCCCGATGCATGAGGCGATCGGGTGATGGGGCTGAAAACACCTTACACTCTTCTTCGAGCTGCTCATAATCGAACGGTCGGTACCGCGATTTGAGGATTTGTGTTTAAAACTCAGCGGGACTTATCGTCAGGCCCTAGATGTGATCATCACTCGGACATCTGTGAGCAACGCGTGTTTAGCTAGAGCGAGGCCACACACGAACATATCAGAACACGCGGAGTAGTGACAATAGTCAACAGTAACGAAAGAAAGAAGATTACAGCAGTGAGTCTGTAGACACAAGAAACGTGCCGCTCCAAGAATTCTGCGGCACTCCACCAAAGCCGGATTCGAATCGTGTAGGTCTTCACTCAATTTGAATTCAGCGGAAACAAGGCCAGTCGAGGACAACAATCTCGGCAGATATTCTGAGACTCCGGAATCGAGCAGCGCTCGATTCTCGTCGTGGAATAGCATGTGCTGCACTGAAATTTTTTCCAATACCATGCAGATTTTTCTTTTGAAAACACTACACATCGGAATCCTCGTCACTCACCACGAAGAATGCGGCGAGGTAGATTATATATTATATATGTGCGAACTGGGTTGGGAACACCGCGTCGAAGCTCGGACGTAGTTTTCAGGATCACCGGAAGCTCTTCCTGATCATGTCTGCGATGCCTCCGACATGAAATATTTACCCGCGAAGAAAGCGATTGCCGCGATGCCGATCATGACTACGCAGCGCGTGCAGACAGAGCCTCGCCTTGTGCATTTCTGAAAAGCGAAATAATTTTCAGCTCCGCGCGTCATTTCTGTAGCCTACCACTCCTTCCGAATCGGGGCATGAAATTCCAGATCCGCGGAGGTATATCGGACGATCTCGACGAGACGGGCTCTCGTTCGGGGAAAGTCGGCGGTGACGGAATTCGGAATCCTGAGCGGACAATCTCGCTCGATTCGCTAACCTCTTCGAAGTCGATCGAATCAATCGCCCCAGTATTTGCGCGGAGCTTTGCCCGGTTCCGCTGTTTCTCTTCCTGTCGCTCTCGCACAGAGGAGCGACATTCCTGCAAGTCATCACGAATTTTAAAATTTCGCGGAACATTGCTCCAACACTAAGGCATCTGTTGATGGATGGGGACCGATGATGACTCTCCACGAGAAGCATTCTGCTTCGTATGCTCGTCGACGGGGTCTGACTCCGTCTCCAATATTTACTCCTCCATCGATGCCACTTTACCTCTGCTAATGTCGGGAACAGCTCACAGAACGTGGGATCCGACAGATTAAATTTGAGGCTCTTCTCTGCGAGTAGCCTTTTTCTGTCGTCGGTTGATTGGACGGATCCCGCCGTCCGCGTCCTCTCTGCCATGAAGCTTTGAAGGCCCAGAAGGATTGCCCCCGCGTTCCACGTGGGATTCCAAGTTTCCGGATGGAAGTCACTGATCGAGAGGCACAAGCGGGTTCCGGTTTTGAACCTGGAACGCGGGTGGTGATTCCAGAGTCTTCCATTACAAGTATCATATATCGTTGAGCGTTTCGGGGGAACCGACGAAAATTCTATCAACGGCTTTGAGGAGGTATCCTCTCAAAATACCTTCCATTCGGCGTAAGCATCATGATTGACGGAGGCTTGAAGGGAAACTCTTCCGGGAAAATTAGTTTTCCGTGATAGATACCGTCTGAAAAGAGAACTTGTTCAGTTCGTTGAATTCGTTATGCTCATTCTGAGCGGAAGTCGACGGATTGCTTCCTCATATATTGTCTTGACGCACATCCTCAACTTACTCTCGAAGGGCGTTCCGGGCGTGCCGAGAATCACGTAGTGCCTGGAATTCCATCGAGCAGAGCATGTAGAACAATGCATTGTGAACTCCGGGTACGGAAGGAGGCGGGAACAGGATGAAAAAAACTTACCATTCGAGGATATTTTCCGGGAGGGGTTGGACCACAATAAAAGGAAGCGGGTCCCGCAGAATACGGATATAGTCTCGTTTGAGACGGAGCGTTGCCTTATCGGACATCATAAACGGCTGCAAGGAATCCAAGGTCGAACAGCTCGTGGATGTTCCAGAGTACTAGCAGGTCGTCTCTGGCCTAATCTTGCTGAGCGCCGGATGCTGGACTCAGAACGCTGAAGTGCTGAGCGGAAGATTTCAGCTCGAGTCTTAGCAGAGCTCGCGTATCAGACAGACTCCGTGCAGGGTGCTATCCGTTTGTGAGGGGAGTATGCAAGAAACGGAGCGATCCGGGCCTCCCCTTCCTCTCGCATTTGTTCATGGAGATGGTCCCAAGACAATCTGATCTCGAGGAATGATTCATCATCCATTTGTCTGAAGCTTTGGGTGCGAAGTATACGGAAATCGATCGTATTCGCAAGCTCTGTTGCTAGCCTAGGGTCGATCGTGATGCTGCTACCTCATTTCAGCGCAGCTTCCGAGAACGGTGTACACCCGGCATCCTGAAACCCGTCAGCTGGGGGACAGGCGGTCGAGCCGACCGCGAACTCACCGCCCTACGCATGAGAGACTTGCTTGAGGTCATCGAGACCCCACTCAGTCAGTCGAAGGTGCTTCTGGAGCAAATCCGCTGTCTGTTAATCGAACGACAAGCTGTATCCATGGGCCGCTGATCGCAGCGCGACCGCGACACGGTAACCAGCCTGGGGAAAGGATGGATTGATTGCAATCATACTTCAATCACAAGAGTAACGTTCATGTGCGCGAGGAAATCTTTGGTTGCGCTCGAAGACTTGCGAGGAAACGCGCTCCGAAGGCGAAAATGCCTGTCGATTCAGTCTCATCCGTTCAGTCCTCGCGAGTTCTCAGACTGACTGCTCGTGGGAACAAGCTTCCCAGCGATGAATCCAAAGGTTGCACCTCATCCCTGACTCCCACGTCTAGCTCCTTCTGCTCATCGCTGCCATGACCGCAGACTCGGCGGGGAGACGTACGTGAGCTCTGATGCCCGCTCTCCAGGTAGACACCGTGCGCGACCGATGTGCAGCAAAATTATTGCGGTAGAACAGTGTCTGAGAAATGCGATTGGTGCAATCGGTGGGTCGCAGGGATTCGAATCAGTGACCTACACGTTTGCCACTCTCCCAGGACAATGATCCTAATTCCTTGCCACAGCGCTATCCAGTTCTCCGGGGTGGTTTCGATTCCCGTCCTCTCACTCGCGCGCGGTCGGGAGCCGGGAAACGCTTGGATAATACTGATAAGTCTCTGCCCATCGCTGCGAGGCATCGGGGAATCGGAAGCATAATGTGTGCCAAACTCAAGACGCCGAATGCTCTGAAACAGCGGCAGTTCTATTATACGCTGTCCGGGAGCTTCGACGCTGCCGACGGACTTCGACGAGTCGACTTGGACAAAGGAGAATCTCTATTCCAGACTGTCTATATACCGAACGCGTTCATCGTCAAAGAATCCGATCAATTATCATTCGCAGTTACACGCAGTTCCAAAACCCAAGCGTGAAATGAGCTGCCTCTGGTGCGCCAGAGATGGAGGCCGTCGTCGCAAACCCAGGTATCACCATGCAGTTGGCCGGTGTAGCCTATCCGAGAAAGGGACGATTTGATCTGTCTTCTACTATCAAAATTACCTCTTAACTCGATGGGTATCTATCGTCCCAATAGCATCAATGAGGAACCATGACAAATACCTGAATAGGTCGAGCGCTTAGCGATAGAGAGATTCTCCAGGATTGCACCGAATATGTATTTGATACGTCTCATTATTGCCCGCTTGCGCTTCCAGACTCGTCATCGGGAGAGAGGAATTTTTCGAAAAGAAAATGAATGCTCGCAAGACTTCAACGAACCTGTATCGAGCGGGACCCCGAGGTCCGAGAGCCGGAGTTCTCGAGATAGATAGACCGGAGCCATCGGTCTCCGATTGATTCCCGATCATTCCAACGAGGTCAAGATACACATTCAAAGCTGCTTAGGCGCATGCACTCTACCAGATTGACGTGTTCCCCTAGTAATCGTTCTTTTCAGCACTCATGAAGCCCTTCGACTAATTCTCTCCACATGATGTCACGTTGTGCTCTAATCGTAAGGGCACTAGCCCTCAGCCCACGGAGAATGACTTCGGCTATTGGAGCAGCGTATTCTGAAGGGATTGAGAAGCAATATAAATGGCGACGCTCCGACTTCGTGTCTTTCAGCGAGCGTACCAATCGGTGAATCCCAGCCTCTCTGTAGAAGCTCGCTGATTTCCGTCCCGAACGGAGCAGTGAGCGTCGAAGGCTGAAGGCTCTCGAAAATGCTCTCTCATGTAGGCTCTTCGTCCTGATCGGCTTGCCAGGATGCCCATTAACCCCTTCTCCAAATAATGCCAAGTGGCCAAGGTCTCACTTTGGCGCTCAACTGTAGGCAACCCCGATTGGACATTCTCAACGAGTGGGTGGAAGCAATTTTCATTGGACCACTATAGTAATTTGTCTCCACAGGTCGCGAACTTCCGCTTTTCGATCGCGGACGGCGCTTTCCCGCGGATCCGATCCGAGCTTGGAACTCCAAAAGCCCCCTTCGTGGCTCATCGGAGAACATATCGGGAGCCTGATCCAAGGAAGAGACAGATATATATTCGAACGCACGATGTGTCCCATGTTCCACTCTATGACGAAATCTCTGTCGTGAGTCGTGATTTCCTTACCATCGCTTCTTTCCAATGGTGTCTATATATAGCTGACAAGGGAGGTACCAGAACTGCCCCCTCGCGATTTCGAAGGGATAGAGCGGGATTTGAAGGTCGACTCGAGTCTAGAAAAACGCCATGTCCTTGCGGCAGGTGGGCCTTTTTGAACGAATAACTCGACCACCTTCATTCTTGGTTTTCTATTGAAAATAGCCTATTTTCCATAGATTTTCTCTATAAGCTGCCTCAAAACTCAAACCGCTGTCATGGAAGCTGTATGAATGAGC